TTTGCAACCTACATAACTTTCTTTTAACAGTTTTCTTTTTCGTAGGTTCTTTTATTTATGACTGCTTGTTGGTAGAGGGGTAAGCTGACTGCAATCGTGTGATTTGTAATTTTAAATAACTGGCAGGACACCATGAGACTTTGCATGGGTGCTATTTATGGCTCTAAACAAAAATATGAGTGTAACAGACCAGAACCAGGCACGAAGTCAAGGCAGGGCAGGAAAGGGGTGACAGGAGTGAGGGAAGTTAGCAGGTGGGACAGGATAGGGTTGAGGGAACAGGTGCAGAGGTTGCAGGTAGAGAGCAAACTAGAAACCTCAACATCAAATTGCATTTTTTTTAAAGTCAATTTAGTTGCAATTTCAGCATCAACTTGATTTTTTTATAACTGCTTTTCTAAATTAAAAGGTTTGATTGTACTTAAAATATAGCAACACAGTTTGTACTTTATTACTTCGTTAGTACAAGGCCTGGCCTACACCTAAAACTTGGGTCAACTTAAGTAAGCCCCAGTATAAAAACCTCTAGGTCGAAGGAAGAATTCTTTTGTCAATCTAGCTACTACCTCTTAAGGGGGTGGATATAAAAATTTTATTAAAGTTAATATTTAAAATCAAATTTACACAAGGTAAGAGGGAAGGTACTGTACATCTGGGGACAGGCTTGAGTTATGATAGATTACAAGTATCCGTTACAAGGTTCACGAGATACATACATAGTACATAACCAGCATAGACCCAGATTGGGGCACGGGAGTTTAAGACATCGGTGGATAAGTGGGCTCACACACAGAATGTATTAGAGTTCACGTCAGTATTGGTGTAGCCAGCGAATAAGTACATGGGTGGGGTGCATCCCTTGGTTTGTCAGGGAAGGAAGTGGGTTATTTCCCTGACCAGCGGTCTCAATTACTCAACTTGGTACTGACTGAAGAAAAACTCCTTCCATTGCTGTAACATGTGTCTACACCAGAGCAGAGTAGCTGCAGCGCTGCATCTGTAATGCTTGTAGTGTAGACATGCCCTAAGTGGTTTTGAGCCTTTATAGGGCATACCCAGTTTAAATAGCAACCTTACAAACTCCATAAAAGGCTTACACAACTTAAGCGTTGCATAACTGTAAGCTCTCACCGGCAGGGCCCATGCATTTGCTCATATACTGAGAAACTGAAAATCTGAGTCTTTTCCTATAGATTTTAAAACTGCAAAGAATGTTTAAAAAGTACAAACTGAGCTGTGAAGTAACAATTAAGGGTTTTCATTGATTATAAAACATAAGCTAATTTCATGATTACAATTTGGTGTTCGACTACTACTATTCCATTTTTTAGAAGGACCACTTCTGAGATATTAACAATACTACACATAGGTTGAAATTCTGATCCCACGGGCACAGCTTGAGTAGACTGGCTAGCTGTGTATGCGGGCAACCAGCACAGGGATAGGGAGACAATTCTTCCCCAAGTCTGGAACCAGGGCAGTCCAGTGGCCCATCCTTTGGGGTCAGTGAACTGTATAGTTCATGAATCCACTGGCCACACAACTGCTCACCAAGATACCCCTTTCCTTTTCTCCTACAGAGGGGGCACTGCAAAACTTGGCTCTGTAGTACATAAAATACCACAAAGTCCCACTGTGCTCTCTTTCAAAGACCTGGCCTTGCTGTACAACAGAACCAGTCTTTTTGCATATAGAAGGATTATTCCCTTTAAAAAAATGTAAGGACCACTCAGGTTATAACAAGAAAAGGTGGTGTTACAGCATAGCAGACCCAGGTGGTGAAAATATCAATGTTAATTACAATTTAAGAAAAGAATAAGTATATTGGTTTGCCAGAACATTTTGTACCTGACCAAAAGTGATTTTATAATATTCAATAATATTAGTTGAATAGAAGCTAAAGGAAGATGGTTACTTAAACAATATACTCTACATTAATTCAAGCCTGGTTAGCAGAAAGAAGTCAGTAACCGTCAAATAACAGATGATAAATTGCTATGGAGCATTTTGGTCAACAGTTTAGATCATGCTTTTAGTAGATATTCTTTACTTAAAGTTATCTACAGAAATGAACATTAAATTTTTTTAAAGCATCTCCTATAATAGAAGGACATCTCTGTTGTAGTACAAATGCCAAAGCACAAATAATTCTCAACCATATCAGTTACCAGATCCACAATCTTATAGGAGGCAACTGCTTTGTAGACCCCTTTGTGGTACTATTTTTAATCCCTTTCCCACTATAACAGCGGGTCCTGCGGGATATCCCCCCAGTCCTGCTGCAGGGCTCTACGCTAGTCCCACACAGAGCTCTATTGCTTTGCCCAGTATAGCATATTTTTTATTAAATCAATGGAACATCCCTGTAAAAAACAGTACCTTTTATTCAGAAACAGCTCAATCCATTAGCATCGCCAGATGGCAAGTACATAATGTCTTGGGGCAAAACAAGGACTATTCTTCTAAAATAATCTCCTAGATATTCTGACAACCTAATAGCTAGCTAGGTAAAGCTATTAAAAAGGATATCGCTACTATTTACTGCAAGATGGGTACTCTGGACAGGCAGAAAAAGGATGACCACCAAAGTTACTGATATTCAAAACAAGCCATATGTTCTATGATTTTGATTCTTTTTGTTTTCCATCAGATTCTACATTTCATTTAACACACACTTCTAACCTTAAACTCATTGGGTCAATGTGCAACTTTTATATAAGTCTATACTTTTCCTTTCAAGAAGAATATTTTTGAGGTCTGGGCATCAATGCTGAGCTGAAACAGGTTTCCTTACCAGGTTTAAGCTAAGCACCCTTTTTCTTAGCATAGATGCATCCTTTGGCTTGACAAGTGCTAAGCAGTGTGACCCATCACCTTGGAAAGTAAGATGCTTCAGAGCTTGTCTATACAGGGGAATTGTGTTCAGCATAGAAATAGCAGAATAATTATTCCATAACAGCTATTCTGGTACAACTCCCCTGACTGTATTTTGAAATAATTATGCTTCCAAAGCAGAGTAATTATTCCAGAATAGGATGTCCACGAGGGAGTTACTCCACTATAGCTATTCCAGTATAACTATTCCTATGCCTGCCAATTTCCCCATACAGACAAGCCCTCAAATCCCCTCAGCTCAGTAGTCACCAGTTTCAAACACATCTGCATATCAGGCAGCTTAGATGACAGATCAGATTATGCTATGTGGGGACCCACAGTTTGCCCCTGCTTTGCTCTTCAATCAGTTAGGCCAGTGGTTGGGAAGGCAGAAGCTTAAGTTCAGCACTGCTGAAGCAAAGCCAGTATTCGCAACAGGGAGAGAGAAAGAAAAGGACAGAGGAAGAGGCAAACAAAAAATACAGCCCAAGACTGAAAATGAAGAGGAAAAAAACAAAGATAGAAGCCAATTTACTTGGTGTAAGGGTGGGACATTTTTGGCTAATCTAATTATCATTGTTAAATTGTCTCCCAAAAATGGAGAGAGAAAACCTTTCTGTAAAAAGATTGCATTCCCCATAGAAAGAGCATTGTGTGCAAGGGAGATTTACCACCACCAACCTGAAAAGAAATTAAGATAAGACTAGCTTACATTGTGAATGTCATCTTTACAAAGACATGATTCCTGTTAAACTAGGTCTGTGAACTGTCTCCACCCAAACAATAGTAGTAAAGGTGTGAATTCTGCCCCAATTCAAAATTTACCTTAAAAAGAGTGTAAATTCAAAGTCTATTTCAGATTATTTAAATACTATAATCACCAAATACAGCAACATAATTGAGGAACACCCTCAAATGGAGTCAAAACGTAATTGACAGTATATTTAGGCTCACCATTCCCTTTTTCATCCTAGATTAGCTTTCACTTCAGAGAGATTTTTTCCTCATTATTTTAGCTAAAAAATAACAGGCGTCAGAATTTCTCCTCTTTTCCATAGTGGTTACAATGAAAGGTGCCCACAGTACTGAAGGGTAGTGGAGTCAAAATACCTAAACAATACCCTCGGGGATTCAGTTACCTTCCTAAAAGAGACAGCATTTCAGATTTGGAGAGTGGATTAAGGAAGGCTATGGCTATCCCTCTGTGCTGCCTGATGTAAGTAGATGGAGACTCTTAACAGATCTACATTGCTAAGCTACTGCCTTCATTTCAAGAATCTTCTCGTGTCATTTTAAAGATTGGGGGATTTAAACAAGAATTGGGAGTGAAAGCTAGCGACCATCAAAATGTGTGCGATAAAAAAAACTCAACTGAGTGTGGGAGCGGCCCTTGCAGTTTCGCCACTGGCCCCTATTGCCCGGCCTAGGCAGGCCTACAACATTTGAGAGAGAAATAGATGGCAGCCTTTAGCTCCACCGCCGACATGCGAGGGACCTGCGGCTGGGTGTTTGGGGGAAGGGGTGTTACTACCCGAAGGGGTGGCACAAAAGGCAACCAGCCCCATTGTCCAGCCCATGCAAGCGCCGCCGATCCCTTTGAGCATCAGGCAGGGAGATGAGGAGGCAGCTGGTCAGCCGGGCGAGGAGGGGGCCACACGGACACTGGCGCATCCCGCCGCCTGCCCAGGCAGGCCCGGCCCCTCACACAGCCCCATGTGGAACAAGCCAGGGCGGGGAGCGGCGCGATCGAGCCCCCAGCCCGGCAGCTCCCCACTTTCCCCTATCTCAGCCCCGCCGTGGGGTGAGGAGACGGCGGCCGCCATGGGAGGCTGCAGGCCCACGGCGGGGCGGCGATGGGAGGCGGCCGGCCGCGCACCCCCTGCCGGGCTCGCTGCTCCCTCCCCAGGCCGCGCCCGCATGACGGAGAAGAAAAACCCGGAGGCATTTTCCTTGCGCCGCCGCCGAGCCCCCGCCGGGCCCGGCAGCCGCCCAGCTCGGAGCGGGGTGCGGGCCCCTCCCCTCGAGCCCGCCCGGGGCGGAGGAGGGGGTGGAGAAGGAGGAGGCGGCAGCGGCGGCCGAGCTCAGCCCCGGCGGGAGCGAGACCCGCCGGCCCGGCCCGGACTCACCTCCACGTCGCGGCCCTTGTTCTTGAAGCTCTTGATGCGGTGGTTCTCCAGGCCCGCGGCGGCGGCGGCGTTGTCGGCCATAGCTGCTCCGGCGGCGGCTCCCAGCTACTGCGAGGCGGCTCCGGCGGCGGCTCGCGGGGAGGGGGGGGAGAGGGCGGGGGGAAAGGGACGTTCCGTGACGAGCGCGAGGAGGGGGGATGGAAAGCAGGGGCACGCGCCGTTGCTGAGTGACGATGAGCGCGGCTCGCGAGGCACGTGACACTATAGAACACGCCTCCTATGCTTCAGGCCCGGCTCTGCTTCTGCGGCTGCTGCTGCTGCTTCCCGTCCCTTCTTTATGCTAATTAGAGGGGCGCCTAATTTGCATAACGCGGAATCCATTGCGGTAGCGAGCGGCGGAGACTACAGGCTCCGGCATGCAATGCGGCTTGGAGTCTCGCGATTGTACGCCGCGTTGCACTCTGGGTCTTGTAGTCTCTGTGAGCCGCATTGTGGCGCGCTATGTGTCGCCCAGCCCACTCTGCCGGTGGAACGCACAGGGCGCGCTGTGCGTGGCGGTCTCCTGTGGAGGTGGAGGAGTTGCAGCTGTCTGTGCCAATGCCAGGCTTTTATAGCATGTGCAAGTGCAGCAGGGGCGCTGGAACAATTTGTATAGTGGGGGTGCTGAGAGCCATTGACCCAAACTATAAACCCTGTATATGATGGAAACCACTTCAAGCCAGTGGGTGTGGCAGTACCCTGGTACTTCTAGTTCCAGTATCCAGGCAGCATGTCTAGTCTAGATGTCTCCTTTCTAGCTCACTCAACCTAGACTCTGCATTTCTCTCCTTCTGGGGCATTTGGGGCACGTTTTTCAGGCTTTTCTCTGCAATTGTGGAAGCTGGAAACATTTTTTAAATGAAAACTGAGCTTGTCCTGTATTCCTGAGTCCAGGTGCTGGCGCTGCAGCTTTAAGACAAACCCCAAAGAGTGCGTGCAAGACTTAATAAAACCATGAGAGTTGGGAACACTGCTTGTGACTCAAGCTATGTATCTGTGTCGGTTACTTGGCTAATTGGCAACTTCCTGGTTTCAAGTGACCCACTCACTCAGGGTCTCAGGCCATCACTGCCTCAAAGTAGAATCATCCACTTCCACCACTAACAGATCTGGGGTTGCAATCCCGTATGTGTCAGCTTTGATTACCTCAGCCGGTCTGATTTAGGTCCGCTGCCTCTAAATTTATTCCCTCAGGGTGTAATGACAATGAGAAACAATGACAAAATAGCCTCCATAAAGCAAAGTATTATTTGTTCAGTACAAAAGCAACAAAAAAACAGACTATATGTATGTATTGGACTAGTTTTATACTTTCAGAATCATCATAAACTGAATCAATGTCCAGAAGCATCATGTGCTGCTTTTCTGCTGCCAAACCCCTAATCAACACCATGCTGAGACATCCATTCAGAACTAACTGTGGCCTTTTCTTCACTAGTCATGTTCGCATTAGGAGAAAAAGTGTACTTTAACATGTATAAAAGGACACATGTTAAAAGTCTAGTGTAGGCAAGGCCAGTTTCGGTTTTAACACATATTAATGGATGATGTTAGCCCTAAGTTTGATAAGCTAACTTGTTAAAATCACAACTTGCTTTGTCCATGCTAGTATTTTAATACATGTTAAAGAAACACTTCTTTTCCTAGTGTAGCCATTGAGAGGGCTACCCACTACGGCCTTATCTTCACTATAGAAAAATGGTGTGTTCTTAACTGGAGTTAGCTCCCTTGAGTTAACTAACTTGAGGTACAATCCTAGTGAAGAAAGACAGAGCAATTTGTAGTTTTCACATGAGTTAGCACTTAGCAGGTCAAGTTTCTTGCCTTCATTTGGATTTTAACTTGAGTAAAAACGCACCTTTTTGTAGAGAGGACAAGGTCAAAATCATCAATACAGCTTCCTAAAAACCCTGGACTTCCCCTGGTGGCTCTCCCATGCAAATATTGACCTGAACACCTGACCCTGTTTGGCTTGTGAAATCTATAACATGGCCTGAGGTCATTTAGCTGCACAGCTCTTAACAAGATTACACAAAAAGTGTGTTAAAAATAAAGATAGATTCTTATAACTTCCATTCTACAAATAGGTTTAAATATTTACTCCAGAATAAGCTTTAAAAAGAATAAATCTAGCCTTTTTGGTTGCAGAGAAAATTATAAGAGAATGGCTGATGCAGTGTTGTTTGAATCTGGAACAAGGCACACGTCCCCTTTTGCATCTCATTCGGATGTAAACTCAAGTCCAATTATGTCTAAAGTAACAAATATCTAGTATGTGTCAAGCACAGTTTGAGATAGCTATCATATCCTAACATTCAGCTCACTTGAAAAGACATTCCATGGTAACAATGCTGCCTATTTAAAACTTGCAAATAATCAAATATTCCATCTAATTTTGTTTGTTTGTTAATAGAGGACAACATTTCCTAGTCTCAGCAACTTCAGTTTATAAAAGGTTGGACAGACAAAAAGGGTTGGATTCTGAAGTCACAAATCACAGGGTTTTGTGGGATTCACACAAAATGTGGTCCAGCAGCAGAAAAGACACTTCACTTTCAAACCTATTGTAATTTGAATTTATGAACTGTGTTGGTTCTGCAGTTCCAAAAGGAGTCAAATCTTAAGCCCTTATCCGCAAACACCTATCTACACAGGTATTCTGACTGAACACAATGGCTGTACTCATTTGCATAGAGTTAGGCACATACATAAGTCCTTATAATACCAGGGTTTTATTTCAGTCACTAAGGTATGCAGCTATTCTTTAAACACACACAGGGATCTGTTCTACATTGTCCGATCTGTTGAGCAAGGTGATACCATTGTACATAGTCACTTTTTGGAGTAGGACTGCACTAATACTTTTGAACGACTCTCTAATGATAGCTGGTATTAGGTTCATACACTTTCCCCATGAATTCTATAAATGTTAGTTTTCTTAGCAAAGTGTAATCTAAGAGTAGATTTTCACTGTGGCGTTAACTCGGGGTCTTACTGGGTGTTGCTCCAAACCCCTCCCATTCACACACACAACCTTTAACCCAAGTTTAGTGGTGCTTTTAACCCAGGCTAGCTGGATCATCTGAGGCTGTAGGATAAAACCTGTGCAGTGAGGATGCAGGCTAAACCACTTCCTGTTGGTTATCCTGCTAAACCTTCCCACAAGTCCTCCGACATGCCCAGAAGGACAGACAAGTTATCCCACAATTCATTGAGGAAGAATCATAAAGTGGCTTATCTCACTGTAGTACAAAGAACTGTGGGTAATGCCCCTAGTAATACTAGCAACACCCCTTGGGAAGTGCAGCACCAGTGAGGATGCAGTCACAGACAGCGCTAAGCATAAGCAGAATAAGCAATTGCATAGGGACCTGAGCAGCTCAAGGGAGTCCCCTATTTGCTTTTTATTATAAGAACTTGCCTGTTTTAGTACCTCTGGAGTGCACTCAGATTGTATTTTTAAGCTTTTCTCCACAACCATGAAGGCTAGAAACTTTTTTTTTTTTAATGAAAGCTGTGATTCTCACTTCAACACTTGTCACTAGCTGCTGGGGCTTTAAGTAAAAGATCAAATATAATGCGAATAGGAAACACAGTGTCAAGGCTGGAAAACTATGTCCATAGAACTAATAAAATTATGACATCACAAGAATCAAGTGTGTGAATGAGCAACTGAGAGGGGGTGGGGGTAGGAGGTTCCCCCCTCCCCTCAGGGCTTATCTACACATAGTTTTCTACTTAACAAAATTGGCATTAACAACTGATTTAAATTGGGTGTGACCCACCCCCACTGTAAAGTGTCCCCAATAGGTGATTGCACTGATTTAATTCAAATTGTTTTTTTAAAATACAAATGTAGTTAAACTATAACAAAACTATGTGTAGAAGAGCCCTTAGAATCTTTAAAGTTTGTTTTTGTTAACATCTTTTTAACTTCAGTGACTAACATTTTGCACAAAGATTCAGTACCTTCACCCCAATAAACTAAGGTTTTAGAGATCAGAATATGCACCCGAGACTTCCCAGGGATGTTGTCCAGCAAAGCTACAGAAGACCAAATTTGATATTCCTGATATTTCCAAAAGTACAAAACAAGCAGAGGAGGGAAAACAGTAAAAAAAAAAATCTTTCATACCATTTTTATATATCATGAAAGAAGCAAACAGAGGTACAAGCTCCATCTTTAAAAATTCCTTTGCAGGTCACCTTTAAGAAAAACATTCTGGTACCATTATACTTTTACCCTGCTCCACTGTTTTGGAGTATCATTTTGTTTGTCCATTTAAATATTAAACTTCCTTTCTCTCTTCTGGGCTGTCCAGCACCAGGTACATTTTCAGCATTCAGAAATTCAAAATAAGAGTAAGGCCAAGTAGAATAGAAAATGAAAATCCAGCCTCCCCACTTAAATAAATTTCACATATTTGGCACAAAGTTGTCACAGGCTTTGCCAACATTCCATTAGCCTTTCTGTTGTCTCTGATAATAAGTAACAGTTTGTTAAATACTTAAATAAAAAAAATGTTTATCTAAAAGCTGTATAGAGAATACCTGGTAAATCTTTGGTACAGTTCAATCAGTGTAAAGAGAAAAAGACTTCCTTGTATTTGAAGAGATAACAATGATCTACGCTTCAAAAGATAACAGCAAGGTTATATTTGTGACAGTCATGCAGGAGATCTTTCTACTCTCAGTATGCACAATCTGAGTTGACTGATGGCTATAAACCTGATGGGTTGCTAGAAAAAAAATTACATTATAAAACACCTCTGTTTACTATAAATATTCAAAAGATTGAGACTTAATTTCAACAAAGGTCTCATATTTGATAGCTAAGATTTTTATTTCTAGGTCTCAGACTCTAGTAGATTTCCTTCGGTATCAATATTGCTACTTTGGTATAGATCACCATAACTATAATTTGGGGATACTGAAGTCGGAGTGAACTCCTCCTAGATTATTAGAAGTTAAAGGCTGGCCACATGTTATTCAAGACATATTCCCCTCTTAGATCTAACCTTTGACATCTATGTCAAAAGTATGAATCATCTCCATGTAGGTGATTAGAAACCACAGTGCCTTAGAAATACCCAAGTGAGAGGGAATTGGTGAAATACAAACTTTTTTTTTTTTGTAGATTTGATAGAGCTC